ACATGGCTATAGCATTCGCCTTTATGAGTCATTGCCAGATCAAGCTGAGGGGAAGCCGACTGAAAATATGGGATCTGCGAAGTCCATTCGTTCCTCTTTTGGCCTACCTCAACTTGGGCCTGAGGCAGATCGCAGATGAGAGGCATCAGGGTTCCACCTGACTGAACAGGTAAGCGAAGTTCGTTCAAGGCACTACCTGTGCGCGGGTAGAGCTTGAGAGCAGTCGTTTCATCAGCTTTTTGATACTCTAAGGTTTTAAGCGAATTCACTCTATTGCCGTTCAGTGAAGACTCTTCTTCGTCTTTCAACAGTGTGGATGGTTTATTACATCTGGGAAATGGCGATTCTAACGGTTTGATGCTAAGTGTCACGTCGTAGCAACGCTTCTCGGTGCCCAAACTAGTAGTGAGCTTCTGGCACGCCTTGATTTTGTTTGCAAAAGAACTTTGATCCGGAACCAAAGGTGAAAGACCCGATGAAATTGAAGGATATGTGATGAAATTGGCCTGGAGATTAGTATTTATGCTTGACTTGATGCTTGCAGAAGATGACACCGGTGGCTCTGAATAATCTGGTTTTTCGGGGCTGGTGGGAATATTAAAAACATTTTTGGCATAAGGCTCCTCTTCGTAGTCACATTGAGAGTAAATTTTCACAGATGATGTGGTTTGGCTAGTTTCGTCATTTGAACACGCTTTAGCAGCCCTAAACGAATCGACATTGTCTGACAGCAGAGAGTGAGCATTTAACGAATCGGGCATATATTTACAACCAGTATCCTTGGCAATATCGGAGGGCATTTGTAAGCTCATTTCACTAGCAATTGCTATATTTGACTTGGAAGAAATAAGAGTTTGTGAGTCAGTATTAGTTATTGCATCGCTTTCTTGCAGATGATTTCGTTTGTTACTATCTGTTTGGCAGTCATTGTGACTACTTTTGTTACTTTTATCTGCTGGAAGGGCAGAATGGTCTCCAGCGTTGGGGAGAAGAGTTGTGAATTCTTGCGGCCTCTGACCATCCATTAGCCAGATATTGCGCTGATTTAACCTAGAGTGTGGTATTTGAAAATCGGTTCTATTTTGTGCTACAGGCAGATTTGACTGGAAGGCCAGAGGGGATGCAGGCAAGGTGGATATTTCATCTCTCTGCATATCTTTCTCGTCAGTCCATCCATCCGGATAGTGTTCATTCCTCGATTGAGGATCGTTCAGTTTTCTGGAAAATGGTCTGAAATGAAGCTTCATGCCAGATACTG